ACTAGACAGAGTTAGACCATTCAGTAATTCTAGAGCTGAGCTGAGAGCAATCTAGAGTAGGTAAGATTTGTCCTAGAAACAGACAAAAAAATTTGCCTCCATGTTAATACAAAAACATGGATCCACTGAGAAAACTCAATGGCAGAAATTCTCCTCCCCAAGTTTTAAGACATTTTAATGAGAGAAACAGCTTTTTCCTCTTAGAAGCATCCCCCTCCTCCACCCCCAGCTATGCCAGCATCTGCTGACTAGTCAGTCAAAGGGACCATGCCTTCTCCTTTTGGAGAAATTTTTGAGTTTTCCTCCTACATGTTGTTTTTTTTCTCTTAAAGCCGTGCATTTGTCATAGCATTTCACTGAAACCCCAGCAGGGGCTTTTGCTGGGGAATGGTGATAGAAAGGTGGTTGGTTTTGATCTTAGCCCTGAACTTTTTCCTGGCTCGTTGGTTTGCATTCTGCTGCCATATCTTCCTCCAGAAAGCGCTGTCCAAATATGCAAGAGAATGAATTGGCTTTGGGGGAAAAAACCACTACTTTTTTTTTTTTTCACTTTCATCCTGTATGTGCCTTGCTGTGTTGCAAAACTGAGGTAAGAGTTAAGGCAAGGCGGCTGTGGTTTTCAGAAGTGAGAACAAGGCGGTAATGGCTCTCCCCCTCTAGAGTCAGTACAAAATTCTGACTTTGGCGTGAGCTGAATTTATTTATTTTTTTCTTACCAGATGCCAATTTAAAAAGAATTCGTTGAAAGGAAGTATGTTGCGGAGGGAAATTTTTCAGGACTTTCACAATCTGTATCTATTTAGCAACATATTTGATGCGATGCCATGTTTAATTAATATTACAGTGTCAATTCACAAAGTCATATTCTTTTCAAGAGAAGAGGAGTCTGTGTAGAGCAAGCCAACCTAGGGAATAGCCATGTGCACTGTGTTACCTTTCCTTCTGTTAATAGTTTTCATGTGCACATATGCATGTATGACTGGCTACAGTCTCTAAAAACATACTCTGGGGGCCTGGAGAGATGGCTCAGCAGTTTAACAGCACTTGCTGCACTTTTTGAAGACCCAAGTTCAATTCCTAGCACCCATAGGGCAGCTCACAGCCGTCTGTAACTGTCATCCACCTCCCTCTTCTGGTCTCCAATGGCATCAGGCACACACATGGTGAACTGCCATACATCTAGACCAAACACCTGTGTACATACATACAATGTACTCTTTGGAAGCTTGTTAACTAATCTGCAGATGTACTTTTTGTTATAGGTACGGTTCATTTTTTAAGCAGCCTATGTGTACTTTAAGCTATTGTGTAGCCCCCAATAAATGTGTAGCTGTGAGAAATCCATGTTCATTATGCTGTTTCGGTGTTCTCAAAATAATCCTGCCTGAGTGCCAGCCCTACTCCCTGACTTGGTGTTTTTCTGCTGTCCCTCCAATTGCTGCTTAGAACCCTTCTTTTTCCAGCCTGTACTAGGGTTGTTCTTGTGTCTCAGGGACTTGTCCAGACAAGCAGGTTTGCCATTGCCCAGCAATCCTTAGTGCTATAGGGGCTGGTGCTCCTTAGTAAGGGGGACCAAGGGAGTCAGGCCTGCTGTGAACTGCACAGTGCTCTCTGGGGCACAGCCCTCGGGTTAGGCCTTGCGTGTCTTCCATCCTGTCATTCAGGGTGACTTTCCTGAATGGAATTCACCCCCCAGCCCTGCGCCTTCCATATTCTTTCCACAGCAGCTGGCAACAGGTCAGGCGGCTCTGAATATTGCCCACAGGTTGTTACTAGTTTGCTTTTTGGCTCCAGGCTTACCTTCTGACAAAGGAATTGATGTTTTAGATTCAGAATTAGGTTGCTTAGTGAAGCCAATCTAATCCATGACTCGGAATGCTCAAAGCTTAAGGCTAGATTCCAGAAATGTTGAAGTAACATCAGTACCTATATAGAGTAGGTAAGTGCCCCCCCCATCTGTAGGTAATAGGTTTCCAGACCCCAAGGGGATACTTGGAGCCTAGATAATGCTAGCCCTCTTCTTTCTCACTAATACAATAGAGTGTTTGTAACAGTACACTTTAATAAAAGCTTTGTAAATATGCTCTTTATCTTGAAATCTGATTGTACTGGAGATCTTAGAAGCTATAGTACATGATTTCTTTAATATTTTTGTTTGTTTCGTCCTTTGTTGTTTTGTTTTGTTTTTTGAGACAGGGTTTCTCTTTGTAGCCCTGGCTGTCCTGGAACTTACTCTGTAGACCTTGAACTCACAGAGACTTGCTTGCCTCTGCCTTTGAATGCTGGGATAAAAGGCATGTGCCACCGAGGAACGACTTGTTTGTTTCTTGAGATAGAGTCTTGCTATGTAGCCCAGACTGGCCTCACACTTCAATCCTGTTGCCTGAACCTCCATAGTTCACAGGATTATAGGCATGTACTATCATGCCAGGTTCTTTCTAATAATGGCGAGAAGGTGAAGGAAGTACCTTCCACCTTCCTTTTGATACGTCAGAACTGCTCACTTGCCAGCATTGCTGCCCTTGTGTTTTGGGTTGCTTGGATTAGTAAAACAAAGGCATAAGCAGAGCAATGCTTTGGTAGTCGATCTCCTAACTGAGTTGGTGACTGACTAATAGGAGGATAGCATGTACCACATTGATGTGCTTCGTGGAGAGATGATTTATGCCCCCAGGCTTGGTACAGTGTGTGTGATTTAAAACCTAGGCATTGTTTATTTGTGCACTTTTCCATTTACTGTTTCGAGACTATAGTTAGTTGGTACTTGAAGCTAGAGAGCATGAAACTGGGGGTGTCAGTCTCATATATGTCTGTCATGAGCCAGGCACTCTTAAGCAGGTGCATGACCTTAGTTAATTCCCAACAACCCTTCAGGGAAGTTCCTGCCCCTGTGCCCACATTTTACAGAGAAGGAGTTACAAGAATCAAAATAACTTGCTTGATGTTCTAAACTTTTTAATTCAAGCAACCTGGCTTCTTTTTGTCCTTGCTTGTGATCCTATATCCAGTGCCAGGCAAAGCTTCACCTTTTGGTGTTTTGTGAGGTCTTTGTCTCATTTCCCTGAGGAGCAAGGCAGAATTTGATGCTGTGTAGATATTCTCTAAAGAAGTACTGTTTGTTATGATACTGTTTGGGGAGCTGTCCCAAGAGAAGCAGGTGAAGACCCCGGGCCAGCTGGTGGAGTTGTGTCTGTGATTTAGCACAGTAACCAGTAGATAAGCCAGTGGTCAAAAGTCATGCATCTCAGACTTACAGATCAAAGAGCTGCCAGGATGTGTGGGTGATTCCGTTCCTTCATGTTAAAGACCGGCACCTGTCCCAGTTCCTTCCCTTGTCAGTCTGTCTTCTGAGTGAATCCTCCTGTGTTCCGCTCATCTCTCCTGGGTGGGAGCTGTTATCCTCTGCTCGGCCACTGTATCTTTCCTGCTGAGCATCTCTTTCCCGTAGTAGATTCCAAATCCTGGAAGTCATAGCTGTACCCATTAATCCTGCAAGCTTTTGGGACACCCAGGTCATTCCTCACATTCCACCAGCAGGCCATGAGCGCGCTGAAGTAAGTCCTCCTCCTGATACCTTTCCTACATAGTCTTCAGTCTGATAATATGGAAAACTGCAAACAATGTCACCTTTCTGCCAGGCATCTGTACACAGCTAACTGATCATGTACAGTTCCACATGGTCTTTATTGCCCCCATCTAAACTTTTTACTAGTATTAATTTATGTTTTGATTAAGTAATTGAAACTGCTGTGTGGTGGTGGCTCATGCCTTTAATCCCAGCACTTGGGAGACAAAGGCAGGTGGATCTCTGTGAGTTCAAGACCAGCCTGGTGTACAGATGAGTTATATGTATGTATAGGGTTATGTAGAGTATGTAGAGAGGCCTCCCAAAAATTTTGTTTTGTTTTGTTTTTTTGTTTTGTTTTTCGAGACAGGGTTTCTCTGTGTAGCTTTGGAGCCTATCCTGGCACTCGCTCTGGAGACCAGCCTGGCCTCGAACTCACAGAGATCCGTCTGCCTCTGCCTCCCAAGTGCTGGGGTTAAAGGCGTGCGCCACCAATGCCCAGCTTCAAAAAATTTTTAAAAATTAGTAGATTGAAACAATCTGTCATCTTTTATGCCACCTTAAAATGTCTCTGCTGTATCACATGGTGAGTCACTCATGTAATCCCTCTCCCCAAGGGGCTGATGTAAAAAGATTGAATTTGAGATCAGTCTTGGCTACATAGTGAGTTCTAGGGCAGCCTGGGCTACCCTGCAAGACTGTCTCAAGAAACTATATGCTGCCAGGTATCTTGAGAATAATGGGTCAGATAGAAAAAGGGGTTGTGCTGGGGCAGTGTATTGGGGGCATAGAAAGACCTTCGGCCGCATATAGTATTAATGTTAAGGGTTTCTTTCCCAAGGCAGACCACATATATCTGCCACATACTTGTTGTTAATGACTAAATGTTGGGTTTGCTGCTTACTCCTTACTATCTGTGCCTTAGTTTCCATATTAATGAAAGAAGGTTCACAATCAAGGGTGTTATGACATTTAAGGGAGTTGTGCATATAAGGCAGTAAGACCTGTGACTGGCACACAGCTGCTGCTACCAACCCTGCTTGGTCTTCTCCTGGCAGCCCCTTACTTGACATCTCAGACCTGTCACACATGCTTTGTCTTCTTAAGAAGTCCTACCCTCCATGCATGGAAGTGTGATTTGAACCAGCCATGCCCACATCTTTGCAGTAATGAAGTGTTCTGGCTTTTACTGTGTAGGCAGCTTAAGAATTGCAGAAGACCCATCAGCTCTTGGAGTCTGTCCTCTGAGACCAACTTGGTTGGAATCCATATACTGTCTTTTAAAAAGAGTTAGACCATTTTCTTCCTTGACATCCTGAAAACACAATGCTAGCAGTTTGTGTTTTATAGAATATAGTGGTATAAAGTGTGTTTAATTTTCCTGAGTAAACTGCTTTTAATAACATACCCATGCATTTTCTTCCTCTGTTGCCAGGTTGCCATTAAAATCATAGATAAGTCCCAGCTGGATGACGAAAACTTGAAGAAGATTTTCCGGGAAGTTCAGATAATGAAGATGCTTTGCCATCCACATATCATCAGGCTTTACCAGGTAGGAGGACCACAGTCCTAGAGTGGCCTGCTGGTTCAAGGCTGCTGTTGAGAAAATTTGGGTGCTGTTCCCCTGGCTATCTTTCTGGGGAGCTCTTCCTGACCCCTTACAGGTCCTTTGCATCTGTCCTTTGATTCTCCCCAAGCATTGCATAGAATGAGTCTAAGACTGAGAAGTTTCCTTATTTGGATCAGAGTTCTTCAGTAGCATGGAAACTCAAAAGGAACTGAGAACATGTTATAGCCTCATGTGATTATTTAAATGCTAGTTTAAAATTATGAATTATGGTGGTGAAGGATATCTAAAGAATGTCGGCTTATTTTAATCACTACCCTCCCTTCTGTTCTTTAGAAGGTTCGGGGCTTAGTTCTCCTAGGCAGTCTTAATTGTTTTTGATAATCTGAAGGTAAACACCACGTCATGGAAGAGCTTTCTGTTGCAGTTTTCTTATCTTCCTAAGAAGCAAGCCTGCCTTGTGCCATCATCAAAATGACTTGCTAGCCTTATGGCAAAGGCAATGAATCTATTGCATGGAATTTCAGACCAATGAGAAGGGAGGACTTTGCTTTAGCAGGCTGGAGGAAGAGATACTTTGAAGAGAGGTGGGGTTTCTCAGATTGCATGTGCTGTGTGCATGTAGCCAGCCCTTGCTCACAGCTCTGCAGCTAAGCAGTTATCTCCAGAGTTGAGGGAAGTGGCCACCCACTCATCGTGTTCGGTGTGTTTATTGCTGTGAGTGTGCAGTAGATACTTCCTGACTCAGGCGTGTGTCAGGCTGGAGAAGCACACTACCGGCACAATGGGCAGACTTGCACAGCCTGCTGATTTTTATGGGAAAGAAAACATGAAGTGAGGCATGTGTGGCTAAGCCAGCAGCTGTAGGCCTCCTCTCTGGCACCAGCTACTCTCAAGATGAAGTGAGTTCAGTCAGTCAGACTTGTTGAAATGCATCTTAGTAAATGACTTTGGGCAACAGCTACCTTCTATAAGAAGTGAAGTTAAAGACCTTCCTGGTGCTGTCTGAACACCTGCACAGTGAGTGGTCCCTGTCTATCTTTTGCTCCCTGCCTGTCTTGGTAGAGTAAATAAATCTGAGTATTTTCCCCCTTGTTTATTTTGTTTTGCTTGTTTTGTAACACAGCCTTACTCTGTAGCTCAAGCTGGGCTCTATGTATTTGTGCATAACTTACAGGAGACACAGTTTTGAAGTTTAACTGTAAAAGAACGTTTGCAGCTAATGAGAGTTAAGAAAAGGGAGGAATATAAGGAAAACACACAATACAATACTTTTCCCCCTGAACACCTGCAATATATTTAATATCAGACATTTTTTATTATGTATGTTAACTACAGAGACAGGTCTCATAAAGAGTGGGTTGATACCACCAATTTTATAGAAGGACACAAGCTGTTTTACTGGAAAATGAACTGAATATGTATCCATATAATGGAGTATTATAAAGTCATTAAAAGGAAGGGATAGACTCAGGCGTGGTGTCACATGTCTGTAGTCACAATACTTGGGAGGCTAATGCAGGAGGATCACAAGATCAAGGCTAGGCTGCACTATGTAGTGAGTTCTAGGCTAGCTCAGTCTGTATAGTAAGGCCCTCTGTTACAAAACAACCCCGCCAACCAACCAACAAATTACACACACACACACACACACACACACACACACACACACACACACACACACACGTGTACGTATCTTGTGTGTGTGTGTTCTAACAGTATACATATATGGTGTTAATGTTTACAGATAAGAAAGAAAGCAGCTGGCAAGAAGTGTAATTAATCTACAATGTAGTGAAGGTGTAGTGTTGTGTAACCTGTGGCTAGAGCCAGGCATGACCAAAGTGATTGGGGAATTTAACTTATTTTAACTTTAGTTAATTTTAATGTAAAAACTGAAGCAGCCAAAATTTTTTTTAAGATCATTGAAATGATGATGTTTTTGGGCATACTGGTGTAAACTATGAAAGTTCCTTCCTGCTTCTAAAAAAAAAAATTATGGCCACTTAGATCCACTCGGTGGCCACAGCTCACTTGTGTCACCTGACATCCTCAGGAGAGGGGCCCAGTGCTGAGTGTCTCCCAAGAGTGAGGTGAAGACAAGTGTTAGAAGTGCCAGGTTTTCTGTTTATGCCCTGGGTGTTTAACATGTGTACAGTGGATCCTGACATAGATCCATATGTGACCTAAAAGGGTCTGGCAAAGAAGAAAACAGCCCTGGCTGTCCTGGAACCCACTTTGTGGACCAAGGCTGGCCTTGAACTCACAGAGATCTACCTGCCTCTGCCTCCTGAGCGCTGGGACTAAAGGTGTGTACTACCTACCACCACCTAGCTGATTGTGGATTTTTTAAAAGCAGCAAAATGGAGACTGGACAAAGTACGAGTGAATGGATTTCATTATTGAAAGGCTTGGCATTTTTATGGGATTACCCCCTTCTTTGAACAAATGGTCCATGGAAAGGAAAGTTGATATTTCCATTTAAAAATCGAGTCCTGTGTGGTTTCTGGGCAGTCCTTAATGAGTCCCAGTGTTCTGCTTAAGGCTCTTACCTCTTCCCCTGGGCTGGGGGTGGGGGAGGGACAGTTTGAACTGCAATGATGGTGAAATTGAACTTTCTTTTCAGTTCTTAACAGCTTCAGCTTATTGGATCAGAGACCTGAGGACCCAGAGGACTGTGTGCCTCTGAGGCAGTAAATGTCTCCTGAGTTTCAGAACCCACAGAATCCCAGTTTCCCTGTCTTGACCCCCCCCTCCCCCCACACACACACATACTGTGCAGTGCCCTTTAAACAGGGCTGTTAACATGGAACCCCCCCACACACACACACACATACTGTGCAGTGCCCTTTAAACAGGGCTGTTAACATGGCAGACTCATTGGTTCTCTTCCTGGATCCATCTGTCACCTGTGTCACTGTCACTTTCCTGCCTTTGCACAGGTCATGGAGACAGAGCGGATGATTTATCTAGTGACGGAATATGCTAGCGGAGGGGAAATATTTGGTAAGTACATTCATTGCATCCTTTAAACAACTTGAGCACACCCTGCAAACCTAAAATAGCTGTCCTGCACCTCTGTCACTTGCTCAGCTGTCTCTTGATGCTGCCTGTCAGCATGATCACATAATTTCAGGGTTTTTTTTATTCAGCTAGTTAAATCCCACATCTGTATTTATTTTTTTAGCAAAGGTGTTTTGTTTGCTCTATTTGGATGTTAACAGTTGAAATAAAAAATCTCAAAACCAAACATTCCTGCTGATCATGTGACTGAGGGTCTTTCTTGTTGCCAGGCTATAGCTGAGGTTGCCAAGGGTGATGAGATCCCACATGTGTGTGGGCCCCTGGTGTAAGGAAGCGCCCAGAGAGTTGTTAGCCCCTGTTTAAATATAACCTTGAAACCTGTTCCTTGTCTTGTGTACACAGTCCCAATGGCTCTGATCACTTGGTGGGTTTGCCTCCTGTAGCTGCTGTTTCTTGTTACAGTTGATCTTAGAGAGATTTTGTTTGTGGCAAATCTGACTTGGAGTTAGTAAAAACTGAAGAAAGAATTCTCTGTGGTTACAGTGATAAATACTGCCATGTGGAGGTGAAGGGTAAATTTCCAAACTTAAATTCATATGTCTTTTATAAGAACCAATACTAATTTAAAATACATTTAAAATGTATAGTATGACTTTAAAAATAGGCATTCCTATTAATTAGAGATTATATGGTTTTGTGTGTGTGTGTGTGTGTGTGTGTGTGTGTGTGTGTGTGTGCGCACACTTGCATGCAAGTAGGGACATACAAATGTTAAACTTAACTCAGTTGTTTTAGCATATATGTGCATATGCTAAACTTGCATGCAAGTAGGGACATACTAATGTTAAACTTAACTCAGTTGTTTTAGCATATATGTGCATATGCTAAACTTAATCCAGAAAATTAAGCATGTGAAGGATAGTCCAGAAATGGTTGTATAAATCTTTAATTCCAGCACTCTAAATGCAAAGGCAGGGGAATCTTTGTGAATTCTAGGCCACCCTAAAGTATATAGTAAGTTCCAGATCAGCCAGGCCTACATAGAGAGGTTCTGAAACCCCAAAACAACTTTTATTTCAGGTGTCACTGTCACTCCTGTTCCTTCCCTTTGAAGGAATATCAAATGTTTCTTAGTCTTATTTTTAAACCACTATGTGCTCATTTTATGTAATGTTAATGGCAATGGGCTAAAACTTTTCATCCAAATATAGTGTCGAAAGAGATACTTCATTTCAAAGAAATTAGCGCATTAAAATCTTAGAATAATAACACTATGTCAAGGAGATAGTGTAGGCTTTTAGTGTATGTGATAATTATAGGCCAATAAATTACTTTGGAGGTGTTGGCTCCATATCAAGACACTAATTTCCCCCTCCATAAAGAGATCTAGCAGAAGACAGATGTGGAGGTCTACATGAATCTTAGACTAGGAGAAACCAGAACTGTATACCTACCTCCACATAGGAGTATCAAAGTGGTGTAGAATGAGTGCATAGATGGCTTCCTGTTTATGTGCGTCCATGGAGCAGAGACTAGAAGTATGTCTGGACTGCTTGGCGAGAGAGAGAGAGAGAGAGAGAGAGAGAGAGAGAGAGAGAGAGAGAGAGAGAGAGAGCACCTGGTGTTGCTGGGGAGTGAACTGTTATCTGACATCCTAGCCGCTGCTACAGTAAAGCTTTAATTTGGGTCACAAATGTACACAAAAGCAAAGCACCTCCGAAGCCCCTGAGCTGCTTGTTAGCTATGTTGGAGTAAGGCATTATTCATAGAGGGCATTGATGATCTTAGAGTAAGAGAGACTGGGGCATCTTAATGCTTCTGACATTAATGCTTAATGCAAGCATGGTGTGTGTGCCCTGTTCTTGGGGGAAGCATATCATAAAAGGAAAGGTAACAGCCCTTTGGTCATAGACTCTTTGTGGGACTGTAGCTCGATGCATGAGCAAGCAGAATACACTTTGGTATTTTCAAAAGGAAATATCATGTAATCATCTGTTACAACATACTATATAATTGCATGAGTAAATGTATTATTAATTGACATTATTAGTATTAGTGTGTGTGTGTGCAAAGACACAACTAAGAAAGAGAACTACAGGGACCAATATCCCTCTTGAACATTGATGCAAAAATTCTCAATAAATTACTGGCAAATCAAATCCAAGAACACATCAGAGAAATCATCCACCATGATCAAGTAGACTTCATCCCAGGGATGCAAGGATGGTTCAACATACGAAAATCAATCAATGTAAGCCACCATATAAACAAACTGAGGGAAAAAAACCACATGATCATCTCACTAGATGCCAAAAAAGCCTTTGACAAAATCCAACACCCCTTCATGATAAAGGCCTTGGAGAAATAAGGGATAACAGGATAAAAGCAATATACAGCAAGCCAACATCAAATTAAATGGAGAGAAACTCAATGCAATTCCTCTAAAATTGGGGACAAGACAAGGCTACCCACTCTCTCCATACCTCTTCAATACTGTCCTTGAAGTTCTAGCTAGAGCAATAAGACAACAAA